AAACTACCAATTCACAGCCAAGCTTAAAGACTAACATTTCTATAACTATCAAATACAACATTTGGATCCTTTACCTGTAAAATGCAACAGCACGTGTGTCAGCAATCGTCAACAGAGTCGCCATTAACCACGTGGTGTACAGGTCAGGTTACTCAATAACCCTGCCAGCCATCTCCAGGCCCGACTGAGTATCACATGCTGGTGTACACGTGCATTGATGCACTGCACAACACAAGCACCTTCACAAAACCACACTTTACTCCATTGCTGCACGATGAAATAATGAAAAGAGTTGTCCATTCCTAATGTGCCACACAAACATCTTCCAGGTAAATTTGATTTTGCACGAATGCGTAAACCTTGTAATGGAGATCTTACCTTGATATTTATCAAAGTGATGACCATAAAACAGTTGCTGACTGTTTATTGACAGAGGAAAGCGGAAATAAATGACATGTGCAGTGGACACCTACTGGCTCTCTGTCCATGGATCCTGATGATGAACATAGAAACTTGTGTCGGAATTTTTTTTTCGTGTTCCACTTCTCTATTATTTTCCTCAACCTCAAACAATTTAATGCAATGATGAGAAAGAAAAGTATTCCTATATATGTTTTTGTTATCAACATCAATAATATTCACATTCAAAGGTTGGAGCAAATGCATATGGAAAGCATTGCATTTTGTCCTAGTTTTTAGAGCTGGCATTGAAACAAATATATTTACATTAATAATTAATTATTACTTTATCCAGGAAAGCCATGATGAGACCATTTTTTTCCAGGAGGGTCCTGCGTTAGTTTATTATTTTAAGAGGTTTTCAGCCAATGAATAATGAGTGTTTATTATGCACGTGAGAGGGAAACCGGAGCACCCGGAGAAAACACCACGCATCCGAGGGGGCAACCACGCTATCTCTACAGATGGAAACACATGGCGATTGGCCAGCACTCGCTGCACCACCCTCTCCCGGCGAACCAGTGTATATGGCACCTCGATGCTCACGGGTAGAAGGGAGTTTCACAACATTTGTTGTGGCGATCCACCAACCCTCGCTGCTGCCCTCCACAGTGCTGGATCGCAGGCAGCCGCATTGGTGGCCACCAGCGCCCAGCACTCAATGGGTTAAGTGTGAGCTGCGGACGTGCATTTAAACAAATGTAAGCTAACACAACAGTGCTGCAGAAAATCATTGTCTTTTGTGCATCCTGTGTAAATCACGTAATGGCCAGGTTTCACTCGGATAGATTATTTCCCCTGAACATCACTTTTAAAAGTTCAGCAAAGACATTGGTTTAAAAGTGGCTCAGGGCACAAATGCTCCATGTCAGAGCATTGAGGTCGTGCTGGGTTTCTTTTTCCGTCCCTGTTACTCCATGCAACCTGTACCGCTCCCAGTCTGCTGTCATCTGCACTGTGATGCCTACTTTATTGAGGGCGATATTGGCGCGTAAAATGGAGATTGCTTGAGACAGGGTAAGATCTGCGCAGCCGCCTACAGTTTGCACCAAATTTGCAATCAGTCGGGGAATTTATCCGACGGCCTCAGAAAACTAAAATTGTACTTTTAGTCCCTTCGTTTAATTGGATTGTGAGGGCCGAAATTCATATAACCTGGAGTGTTCACTCCGCTCAGACGTTTACGGTTGTGCTTTACAGCTCGCTGATTTGTTTTCGGGTTGTACCATATGTTATACGCCACTCGGTTCCTGAAGAAGCTACCAGCACGGTGGAGTAAAACGTCAGACATTGTGCCGAATATCACGCAGTGTAACCCAAGAGCACAAAAGAGAATTGCAGCGCGTTTTCACGTGAAAAGGAAGACTGGCGTGCAACAAGCCTAATGGAGAGCTGCTCGGTGTTACGTAACAGGCCCTCTGAATTGACCCTACGATGAGTTCTGTGCTGTCATCTTTCATGGACCTTTCCTAACCTGATGTGATGCTGTGCTGGCTGTGAGTCCTTGGAGGACATCTCTCTCAACCAGTGACATGGCCTGGCACATGTGGGACGTGCTTGGTGATTACATTAAAACGGATCTATTCGGATTACGTATGGATCTTTTGAAATCACTTATGAAATATTGGGGTTGGAGAAGTTGCGCAGGGCCTAGTGCGCTGCACTGTGAACCCAGCAAGCAGAATTAGATTCTCGTTCATGGCTAATATCAGTGGTAAGTGATATCTGAACCAGTCCGCGCCCCCCCCCCCCCAATCCGCACTGGTAAAGTATGGTCAAAAAGCCCCGATGTATGTATATTTGTTGGATTACAACTATTGTAATCCACTCCATCTCTCTGGCCTCTATATCCCCGTGCTATAAAGAAGGGCCATTGCCAAAAACATCGCCTATTATATAATTTGTCTTTTAAGGCCACACTGTTGGAGTGTTTTGTTGTTGTTTGTGCTCATGCCCCACTGCCAATGCACTATCACCAAATTATTTGTTGATCAAAAATGTTTTTTTGCACCGTTCGTAGCCAACCGTCCTAATCGGAAGTGTGGGGGGGAAGGACAACAAACCTAACACAAAAGTCAGTTCTAAAGAAATTCGTTTTCAATCTAGATTTAAAAGCAGATAGCTCCAGTGGCTTCCTAATATCGGAAAGAAAAGCGTTCCAGACGGCTGCCGAAGCACATCGAAAGTGCACGATGCAATAACCATCTTTGTTCGATGGCTACACGCTGCGAGGATGACCGGAGTTCGCGTGATAGTTTATGTTCCTTGACAAGATCACTGACAACACGCTGTCAGCCTTGATCCAGCAGTGTATTGAGAAGGGGCTGAAAATGATTATTGCTAAAGATTAAACTGGAATTTGGTAAAAACACGCATACATGTTTTAAATCGCAATTCCATCGTTCAAGGCAATCCTGGCTTGCACTCGCATGTCTGGTTTAATTCATCATCCCATACAAATCATCTTGGGCACTGCTCTCCGTGTCTCTTCTTGTCGTCCCAGCGAGCCACTGTGTGTGTCGCTAGCCGAGCTTTTGCGAAGTTTGCTCCAGCACTATTGAGCAGTCTTGTGGTATACCTTCAAGCGTGTGCTTCCGCATCCTCTTTGGAGGCTGCCCATAAAACGTATGTTTTTAAATTGGCGATATTCATAATTGTTAGCACTGGCTCCATTATATGCATATGTGCCATCCTTTAAAAAAATATATAATTGTATTTTTTAATACACGATACGGCGGGTGTGCACAGCGCTGTGTTTGTGGGATTCTCTCTGGTATCGTAGCATATATCGGCGTGAATGCATCTCCCGATGTAAATGTACGTGATTGTCAATTGGTTGAATGCCGTTGAAGAATCTGTACATTGACGAATGTGCTGAGTATTTTGTACGTCGTAAGGAGCCTTAGAACTGTTGTTCTACAAAAGGTGTAATGGAGATAATTTTGTAAAACTTGTTTTTGATGCATCTATTAAAGCGCTGCAAGGCTCTTATGTGTGGGAATCATGAATGTCTATGCGGGAATGTCTATGCATGTCTGGGAATGGGTGTGTGTTCTCCCCGTGGTCACGTACATTTTTCTCCAGGTCCTCCGGTTTTTCCCTCCACATTCAGAAACATGTGTTTAGAGTATCTTATATATAAAAGTCTCCGCGCGTGTGTATATCTAAAGTGGATGTCTATGCGTGTGTGAGTCCATATGTGTGTGTCCATGTGTTTGTGTGTGCGAGTCGATATGTCTGTGTGTGTCAGTCCATGGGCGTGTGTGTTTGTCGCTTTGTGTCCGTGGCTCCATGTGAGTCCGTGCAAGTCCATTTCTTTGCGTGTCTGTAGGTCCATGTGTGAGTGAATGTGTGTGCTGTATTGACCTGGTCAAGGCCTATGATACCATCAGTAGGCCTGGCCTCTGGGTTGTTCTTCATACTTTCGGAGTCCCTCACCCTCTGCTCACGATCCTTAAGGACCTTCATGATGGTGAGCGGCCCCGCGTCAAACTATGTGGCCGTCAGTCAGAGCCATTCCCTCTACACTTTGGGGTGCGACAGGGATGTCCTCTGGCTCCCACATTATTTAACATATTTTGACCACGTAGTTCGTGAAGACTTCAATGGCTGTACCGGAGGAATTACTATATGGTACATATACAATGGGAGGCTGATCGATGCCCGGGTACGGTCAAGGGATGGCTCCCTATTGATCAACCATGTTTTGTATGCCAATGCTCTGGTGAATCCTGCTCACTCAGAGGAGGACTTGGAGGCACTGCTGCTGAACCTGGAGCTTGGCACTAAGAAGTGGGGCCTTACCATCAGCCCCATCAAATCTAAGCACCTGGCCGGGTATTTTGTACCATCGGACAATCCACCCCCACAACTCACAATTTCTGATGTGCCAGTTGTGGAGAGATTGGAGAGATTCCCATACCTGGCCAGTGTGCTCATGACCAGCTCCGGTTTAACACCAGAGGTCTCACTCCAAATCAGTTGAGCGCCATTATCTTTTCATCGGCTGCGTTACGCTGTGTGGAAGCTACCTGGTCTCTCGCTCCGCATGAAGCTCCAGGTCTTCTCGGCCACAGTAATCCCCTGCCTTCTGCACGCTTGCGAAACGTGCACCCACCTAATGGAACATCTTCACCAGTTGGAAACATTTAGGCTGGCCTGCTAACGATCCACCCTGGGTTTAACCATATGTGTGTGTGTGTGTGCGTCTAAGTCGATGTGTTTCTATGTGTGTGGGTCGATGTCTGTGCTTAAGTCCATGTGTGTGTCTGCCTTTTTCGCCCGGGCAACGCCGGGTACTTGTTCCTATACATTTCCAGGTGATAAGCCACTTCTTTGAGCGATAATTTGTGGCCAGGTCACTTCTGAATAAGATCTAAATATCTCAGTGGACTTTACCTCGTAATATAAAAATAGTAACGACCTGTCAGCGAACCTTCGACACTTAATGTATCCTCAACGTGTAGCCTGGCACAAGCGCCGTGGTGACGTCACCGCCACTGAGTGGCGAATGCCGGTTGTTGTTATGTGTGTGTGAACAGCTTGGCTGAAGGGGGCCACCTGGCTCTGGGAGGGATGCGGCTCTGGTGGGTGCTGAGCTGTGCGGTCACGTGGGCCGTCCTCGCCGTTCTACTCCTCAGCAGGCTCCTGTCGATGAACCGGCCACCTTACCGGGGTACGTGTGGGGGCTAATGCCCCCCTCCCCACTCCCCATTAGGTGGGGGCTGATCTCCCTCTCACTCACCACGAGCGGGGGGGGGGGGCGCCACGTCTAATTGGTGGGGGCTAATGCCCCCCCTTCACTCCCCATTAGGTGAGGGCCGATGCCCTCCCCCCCACCTGCCATTGGGGGGGGGGGGGTCAATCACCTCCTCCCCCTCCTCCCGCGTCCTAACCTCGCAAAGTTAATTAATTATTTCTGCTAAGGCGTTGTGTCAACAAGCCAACGGCGCTCGGAATCAATTAATCTCCGTGCACTACGCTCGCGCCGCGGTCAAGCGTCCCTCTATTTAATTAATTATTTGTATGTGCGCGCGCGTCATGCATATACTGATTCCAGTCACCCACACACTGTCGTGCGCCGATCACTGTCCCACCGCTCTTCCCACACACACATGCACCACGCGTCAAATATCAGTCTGTGCTAAGGGTTTATTAGCGAATAGTGAACCCCTGTTTATGGCCCCCTCCAGCCAGCACCCTTCGGGCAGCGCCTAACCTCCTATCTCCTAGCCGTCGCAGAGTGCGTCTATCCTCCAAGCTCGAGCTGACTGCGAGCTGGGCTGAATTGGCCCCCTCCTCCAGTACTGACTCACCTTTCCAGCTGCACGATGGGCGATGGGGGTTGGGGAAGATGCCCGCCTCTGAGACTTTGCCGGGGCATTCGTCTTCAGCTGCACCCTGCAGGCGTCCCACGGACGCTGAGGGCAGCTGGTATTCTCTCCCACTCCAGAAGAACTCTGATCCAATCCGCCCCTCCGGCCCCCTTATGTTCCCAAAACCCCTTAATCCCCGGGTCATATGACGTCATCCTGCGCATCCAATCGAATCTTCTTTGCGGCCGTTTCGAGCGCTCTGGCCGTTGGTAGGGTGGGGGGTTGCGTCATCCCCCCCCTTCCCATTGTCTCTGTACCTGCGTCCCTCGCTGTTGACTCATCGATAAACCCCTCGCTCCCTCCAACTTAAATCAACTCTTATCTGCCTAGGGGCTTTTCCCTCCCACCCCACTGTTTACCCTGCCGCTGGGTGCTGGCCTTGAGGTCCCACCCCCCTGTGTTGTGTATGCTTCATCGCGGCCGGCCTGTAAAGCTCTATTCTCCCTTCTTGTGGGGGCCGCCATGTAATCCGGTCGGCGGGGCTCAGCCAATTTCCTGGTCCGGGGAAACCGTGGGACGTCCCTGCTAGTGAGGCCCTCGGGTGAAAACCCATCGTACCAGGTGATCCCTCCTCGAGACCCTACGGGGGTACATGTGAGTGTTTAGTGGGGTGTGCGTGCGTTCGTGGGGGGGGGGGGGGGGTGCGAGGAGAGGGTAGCGCCGGCCAAGTTGCTCCACTGCAGTGGCACCGCATACGCACCGCACTGCCCGCCACCACCCGGTGACCACACTGGCTTGCCTGTTCGCCCGCCCGTCCGTCTTCTGTCTGTCTTCATGTCCTCCAAACGTGCCGTCCAAAGCAGATGTATTCACTTGGGATTTTTTCACATTTCAAGTGTCGTCACCTACCGCCGTTATCCTCGGAATACACCCCCCCCCCCCCACTCGTGGGGCGTATTGAACATTTTGGCTGTAGAGGCTACCAAGAGAAGATGTGCTCTTTGCCGCCCCCTCTAGTCGACTAAGTGGCGTTCCAGTGCAGGGTCAGTGACATCGCTGGCTTCTGTGTATTTAGCCGACCCCAATGGAGCTCTTCACTTCTCCAAGTGAGATTCTTTTTTTCGGGTCAGGTATATGTTTCTAATGTATATAAAGATCCAGTCCTACAATTGCCTGCTCACACCCACCGCTGGCAGAAGGGCCTCCTCTAAATGGAGCTCCAGAGAGCCCCTCTGGAGAGTATTTTGGCTACTTGTCAACTAGTCAGGCATCTTGGAAGAGGTGGGGGGTACCCACACTTTACCCCACCACATGCGACCTCCAGATCGACTTAACTATGGTGTAACAATTAATACTGCTGGGTGGACAGAGGTGGGTGAGATGTAAGAAACTTGATCATTGTTTCAACTGCCATGCCGGGAGGTCGATCGAATGAGTGACCTGTGGATTGCATGCACGAACCATTACACCACGGCAGTATCCCTCTATAGAAAGCATTCAATATTCAACTTATGTAAATTGTTTACATATCAGATCAACAACAATACTGTATGAATTAAGGCACTTCTACAATAGTGGAACACCGTTTTTTTTTTAACCTGGAGAGAGCTCAAGAGACCAAAGTAACAAAATAATCTAGAAAAGTACAATGATGAGGAAAAGGGAAATCACAGCAAAAACTACACATTACATAAGAAATTAAAAATACCCGATTATCGCAAATATAATATTGTGACTCAATGGATGGCAGGGTGGTGGTGCAAGAGTAACACTTGGGCCTCACAGCACGAAGGGCTGGGTTCGATTCTCGACGCGGGAGTCTCCAGACGTGTCTCGGAGGCTCAGTGGAGTGCCGTGTCCACAGCTGCTTAGCCGTCCCACCAGACCACGAGGCCTGTGATGCCACCCTACTGCTAGGGTTGCCACCCATCCTGGTTCTCCCAGGATCATCCTCATTTGGCATTATCTGTCCTGGGAAACCTGGAAATCCTCCAAGGATATTTAAAAGTCCTTGTTGCGTAATAAAACGCCACTCAAGGCACTATATTTCCATGCAGTTCCATGAAAATGCATTTTCATCTTTTGAAGATATGTCCCATTTTTTTGCACGTCAAGAGATGGCAACCCTACTTTACCCACCACGTGCAAAAGTGATCTCGTCAAGGAGCATAAACCATCACACTAACTCTGGTCATCCTCACAGCAGCGGCTTTTAGCTGGTCATCGAACAAAGATGGTCACCGCATCGCGCGCTTTCAGATGCACTTTCGCAGCCATCTGGAATGCTCTTCCAATATTAGGAAGCCGCTGGAGCTATATGCGCACTTAAATCTAGATTGAAAACTATTTTTTTTCGAACTGCTTTTTGTGCTTAGTTTGCTGTCCTTCCCACCACAAATCATTGGCTACGTATGGTGGTGTGAAAGAGGTTCCACATAGAGTACATACATACGTACAAAGTGTTGAGGGCAGTGGGTTTTTAGCGGCTGGAAAAAATGCTGTCGTGCATTACTGTCATAAACTCCGGTGTGCGTGCACAGCCTCACTCGGGCAATGGCCAGCGTAGAGACGGGAGGCGCGCTGGCCAGGTCGTTGTGCTCCAGCAGTGTGGTTTGGCCAGCTTAGCATACGCAGGGCCGGCTTGCGAGCCAGCACAGGCAAAATCGTCCGTCACCTCTGAGCCAATTGCGTTCATACGCGAGCGACCCGCAAACACGGTACCATATGCAGGGGTCTGTGGCCTGAAAAACTATTACAGGTTTGCAGTTTCCTGACTCGCATATAATTATTGGTAGTGGCATAGCATATTTATGCATATCATATAAGCAGTATATCATGCTTAAACTGCCTCCATATAACCTCTAGTTTCCTATCCTCAATCTTCTATTCTGCATTTTATCCCATCACAGCTGAAAATATCTGTCTGTCATTTTGATCCTCGTAATGGCTCAGCCTTACTCTGACATTTAAATGAAAATTGCATTGGTCACACTCAAGTTATATTTCCCCACTCCAAATATCTTAATTTCTCGCACCGCAGGTAAAAACTCCGTTTGAAGTTGAGATGACATTTGACTTTTCTTCTTCTTGGTTCTTTCGGTAAAGTCACATAGATTGGAAATAAAATTATAAAAATAATAGAAGAAATATTTATTTATTAAATGGAATAAAATATTTATTTTTATTTTATTATGTTTTATTTAAATTATTTTATTTCCATTCTACATGACTTTACCGAAAGAACCAAGAAGATGAATCCCTGCAGTCACGAAAGCTTTAAATCGAAATATGACATTTGACATTTCCCTGTCCTGTTCCACAATCTGGCCCCAGTATTCTTCACTCCAATAAAACGACACTACATCTAGGCCTCCGCTTGTCATCTCTCTCACATCGCGATCAGGTTTTTCGTTTCTCAGATCACCTCTCCTGTTGGCAATCGTTGTGGTCTCTTAGCATGAAGACAACGATGGAGTCACTGGTCCTCACCATCGTAATGTGGAATGTCTACCATTCACTCAAGGCAATATATTCTGATCTGTAACAATTACTTGACGCGTATTTGATTTACGTGCAATTGTAATTTATCGATATATTTTTTTACTTTGCTTGCGCATTCGTGATCGATTGGACTCATAAGAGTGCGCAATAACAAATGTTCTTACTTGAGTTTTTTTTACTGCATATTAGTAACGTTGTTCAAAGTGTTTTTACACAGTTGACAGGTGTTACTTTTAAGTTTTTATTTTATTCGCTCATTGTCTTGCATGGAATGTGTTGCTCTTCTGTTACATCGTACCCAGTAATGTATCTCTTTTCCAGTATTTTATATACAGTGAGGGAAACAAGTATTTGATCCCCTGCTGATTTTGTACGTTTGCCCACTGACAAAGAAATGATCAGTTTATAATTTTAATGGTAGGTTTAATTGAACAGTGAGAGACAGAATAAAAACAAAAAAATCCAGAAAAACACATGTCAAAAATGTTATAAATTGATTTGCATTTTAATGAGGGAAATGAGTATTTGACTCCTCTGCAAAACATGACTTAGTACTTGGTGGCAAAACCCTTGTTGGCAATCACAGAGGTCAGACGTTTCTTGTAGTTGGCCACCAGGTTTGCACACATCTCAGGAGGGATTATGTCCCACTCCTCTTTGCAGATCTTCTCCAATTCATTAAGGTTTCGAGGCTGACGTTTGGCAACTCCAACTTTCAGCTCCCTCCACAGATTTTCTATGGGATTAAGGTCTGGAGACTGGCTAGGCCACTCCAGGACCTTAATATGCTTCTTCTTGAGCCACTCCTTTGTTGCCTTGGCCGTGTGTTTTGGGTCATTGTCATGCTGGAATACCCATC